CTCTCTCCGGTCTCCTCGTTCTGGGGCGTCTCGGATGTACCTGCAAAAAGGACTCCGACAATCAAGTTAGTTGCCTCCTCAATATCGTATATTGCTTATATTATTACCTATCGTGGTTTCCCGTGTAACCGTGGTGTAACTGCTGTATGGTTATCTTCCGAGAATTCTTCTCGGTTAAGTCATGTTCAATGTTGTTAATATGCCGAGGTTGTTGAGGTGTATTACCAATCTCCCTTATTTCACGTGACACCTCAACGTTAAACGTATACTTTAGTTTGACTAAATAATCACCTCAGTCAAGATTGTCTAATGAACTCGGTTGAGCTCGGCCTTGAGCCAGGGTAGTACATAAGCCCCCCAAGCTCTAAGTGATGAAAGAATGAAAGAGCTGAGAGAAACAAGTGGAGGATGGCGAACGTCCGAGATGGGAAGGTACACAAAGAGTCACGGGTTTTCAAATTGAAGAGTGACGCGTGTAATGGGTGAGGGAATGTAACGTTAGAAGGCCAACAGCTGTAGTCTGGGGAAGCGCGAAGGGGTACGACGCTTAATCATTAACATTAAGTGTGATGGGACAGGGCATTTAAGATAGGGGATTTAGGGCCGCGCGAAACTTTTTAGTGAAGGGTCGTGGCTCTCAATGGGATAATGAAAGAGTGTGATGGGGGATATATATGTAAAGGAGCCGCAGAAGGCTTTTTACTGTTATTGTGCTTAAACGAAAGCGTTGAGACGTGGGTGCCAAAAGCGTAACAGGGAAAGTGGGTTGCAGAGAATAGGATATTCAAGGGTTAGAGGTCCTCAAGAGCCTACGGATTCCAGGTACCAAGCGTTATTTTTTGAACTTTTTGTTGTGATTTGGTTGGAAAAGTGTGTGGTAAAATGGGTAAGGCGAAGGGGAAAATCGCTGATAGTAAGAGAGGTGAAGCGAGTGTGCCAAAGAGGGGTGGGAACAATAGGAAAGATTCTCACCCAAAATTATGGTGACTGGTTATGAATGGGTAAGAGGGGATGTGGATAAGTATGAGAGCAGGGTGAGAAGTGAGATGGAGGCGAGTGTGTTACAACATAAACTGAAATTCTGCCTTCCTCCATACTTAGAACATCTTTCAATTGAACCGTGTTCCTCAGAGGAACGTGTATTTTTTAGAGTGCCGACATCCTCGTTGTATATATATATGTATCATTGTGTGTTTAGGGACTTGGGAGTAGTAATTCCTTTCACCCCGTTTGAATGTGAGTTTCTAAGAAGGATTAATGTAGCGCCGAGTCAATTACATCCCAATAGCTGGGGATTTTTGTGTGCGTTTCAAATTTTGTGCTCGGTAATGGAAATGAATCTGAGTTTGGGAACTTTTATGCATTTCTATCAATTGAAATTAGGGGAGCCACCCTTTGGGTGGATATCGCTGAGTGGGAGCTCGAATGGTGGGTTGTTCCAGATCTTTTCCCAGTCATATAAAAATTTTAAAGAGGAGTTTTTTAAAGTGCAATGTGTGCACAATGATGTAAACTCGGACGCAATTTTCTACTCGAATGGTGAACCGAAATTTTCGCTGAATTGGCAATCAGAGCCGATAAGATTCTCTGGGTCGGAAGGGTTAGTATTATCGGATGAAGAAAAGAAGAATATAGAAAGATTAGGAGGGCTAACTCGGCCCTTAGAAAGCAAAGCTATCTTGTTTCTTGTGGGGTCAAAAGATCCGCAAAAGGATTTAGAGAGTAAGTATGTCAAAATAACATCTAAACTTGGTTGAAAGTATACGCATAACTGAATGTATTATGTGTTGTTATAATGTGCAGGTATCATGGTTAGGAGTAAGTGGCGAGAGTTGAAAGCCAAACATGGGGCGAAGGGATTAGAAGTTATTAATGTGGAAGGCATAAGTGAAAAAGAAAAGTTGGAGACAAAGAAGAAAAAGCAACGAGTTGGTGATAAAAATGTGGACACCAGTAGTCCGAAGTTGGTGCAAACCGAAGTTAGTGTAAGAGAGAAAGATGCTAGTTTAAGTCATCCAACTGGGGAATATGGTCGGCCAATCGTTGCGAATGTGACCATACCGAGCTCCTCAACATCGGATGCTGATCACCAAAAGGGGAAGAATCCAACAGTGGTGATTCTGGATGAAAAAATAGTAAGCAGTTTCGTATTCCTTGTAAAAATAAAAATAAAATCATCATGTTGATGAAAATAACATATATGGAACTGATTTATTCTTTGCTTTTGCAGGTATTGGAGTCAAAAGAGACAACCAATCTGATTTCCTCGGATGAGTCGATGTCAGAACTTCAAAAAGCAATTGCGCAGCTCGGCTTCTCGTCCTCGATACCGCAAGGAGGATCATCTTAAGGTGGTCAGACAAGCCGACCTCGGACATTACACCAGAGATATGATTCTAATCACCCATTGGAGAGATTAGATCATGTGAGTATGTCTCCAGATGTCACCTCGTTCTGGAGTGCCAAGTTAACGGCGGATGCATTTTATAAAGAGGATCGTGCGCACATTGCCAATAAGGCATTAATCGAGAAGGTGGGTCCTGTTGAGGGATTAGATTCAGTGGAAGTATTTCTGCAAAGGTCAATTGTAGTAGTGGATCACTGGAAGAGGAGATGGAAGAAAAATATAGAGCAAATGGATAAGCTGAAGGCGGAGAATATGAAGGTTGGATCTCTGTGTGCTGAGCTGAATGATGTGAAAGGAAAATTTGCTGAAACCAACAAGGCGTTTGAAATATCACTGCGCTCCAACAAATCATACTCAGCAAAAATAGAAGAGCTTCTGAGTAAAGTAAAAAGTGTAGAGGGAGAGAAAGAGCAGAAAGAAAAAGAAAATGCTGAGTTGAGAGGAAAGATCAAAGAAATTAGTGAAAAGGAGAAGGAAAATGCTGAGCTGAAGAAGAAGTTGGAGGAACAAAATCGTCTAACCTCGGGGCTGCACGAGGAGTTGCAAAGATTAAAAGAGCAGAATAAAGCTTGTCAGGAAGTGATAGCGGCTGATGTGGAAAAAGCCACAGACTTGGAAAAGAAAAATAATAAGTTAAGTAAAGATCTGGAGAACCTCGAGTTGCATGTGATGGAGGAGCATAGAAAAAGATTTGCCAAGGCTCTTCGTCAAATCAAGATAGTGTCTCTAGAAATCAATCTCCGTGATCTAGACGTCAACAAGGATGTGTGGGACGAAAAATTGATCAACAAAGACGATATGCCTGATGATGTTAGTGGTGAAGACTGATGCGAAAGAATAAGTATTGTAATAGTGCCTTGTAGGGGCTATGTTTTATTGTTGTTTTCTTTATTCCTGTTTTACTTTGTATGAAACACATTTTTCTTCTTGGAAAGCAAATTATTAAGTTTAATGTAGCTATGATAACGTTTGACTTCTATATGGGTTTTCTGCAGATGAATAGAATTTTGCAAGTTATAAGTTATAACGAATTTATGAATCATATGAAACGTATGTAATGACAATGATGTCATCATAAAAGGTTGAAATATGGGTAACCTTTAGTAATCTTTGGCTCAGACTTGGCCAATATTTGAATTTGGAGAACCTTTATTAACTTTTGGCTCAGACTTGGCCAAGTTTATTGAGTAATTTTTACTACTGACTTTGGCTCAGACTTGACCAAGTTTGTTGACATTGGCTCAGACTTGGCCGAATTGAATTTATTAAGTATTAGGCTCAGACTTGGCCGAGTTGAATTTATTAAGTATTAGGCTCAGACTTGGCCGAGATTAGTTACATCAGCTCAAACTTGGCCGAGTTTAATTTAGTAATGATTAGGCTCATACTTGGCCAAATATGGTCACATCGACTCAAACTTGGCCGAGTTTTAAGTAATAATTTCACGTAATTTCTGAGACAGAAACTCTAACAGTGAAGTAAAATGAAAAGGGGAAGAACTAAGATAAGAGAAGAGAGAATGTATGATGTATATTATGAAATTGGATATTAAGTACATCTCTCCTATTTCCCAGGCATGCCTCGTTAAAACCTCTTCAGCCAAAACCCTTTCTTTTTTATTGGGAAAAAGACTGAAGTAGGAAAAAGAGTACAATACCTGGGTTTACAACATTTCAGCTATAATAAAATTTTAGATGAGTGGCATTCCAAGTTCTTGGGATAACTTTGCCACTTAACTCTATGAGTCTATATGCGCCATTTTGTAGACATTCCAAGATACGGAATGGACCTTCCCAATTGGCTGCAAATTTTCCTGCTTCCAAACGAGGTCTCCTTCTCGGAAAGATCTCGACTTAAACTTGGAATTGTATCTCCGAGATGCTCTGAGTTTGCATGCCTCTTCTTGAACTCGGGCGCACTCTCTGGCTTTATCTATGAGGTCGAGATCAGCTCTTAGGGCTTCACTATTTTGAGTTGTATCAAAAGTTAATCTTCGATGACTTGGTTCCCCGACCTCCACTAGGATCATAGCATCAGACCCATAAGTCAATCTGTATGGGGTTTCTTGAGTGGTGGTTTGTGGTGTGCAATGATATGCCCATAAAATACCAGGGAGCTCGTCCACCCATTCTCCTTTTGCCGAGCCAAGCCTTTTCCTGAGTTCTCTAAGAAGAATCTTGTTGGCAGCTTCAACTTGTCCATTTGTTTGTGGATGTTCAACCGAGGTAACTTTGTGATTGATTCCGAATTGCCCCAAAAATTGCTCAAAGTTTTTATCAACAAACTGCTTTCCATTATCAGTGGTTATAGCATGAGGTAAGCCATACCTACAAATAATCTTCTTCCACGTAAATCTTTGGATATTGGCCGCAATAATCTTGGCTAAGGCTTCAGCTTCAATCCATTTTGTGAAATAATCAATGCCAACTAATAGGAACTTTAGTTGACCTTTGGCTACTGGAAAAGGACCAAGGATATTCATCCCCCACCAGGCAAAGGGCCATGCTGACTGCATCGAATGTAAAGTTGTTGGGGGTAACTGGTGCAGATTGTCGAACTCTTGGCAGGCTTTGCATTTCTGTACATATGACTTTCAGTCTGATCTCATAGTTGGCCAGTAGTATCCAGCTCGGATAACCCTGACAGCCATGGACCGAGCTCCGGAATGCATGCCACAGATTCCGCGGTGGATCTCATCCATTACATAGTGGGCTTGATCTGTGTCTAAGCATTTGAGAAGAGGCATGGAGAAACCTCGCTTGAACAATTCACCCGCTTCAATGGTAAAGTGGCATGACTTGTTTTTAATTTTGGAAGCTTCTACCTTGCTATCTGGTAAAATCCCATCTTTAAGATATTTCCAAATATCGGCCATCCAACCTTGCTGATATGAGTTGTTCGCAAAAATTGTTGTAACTTGGCAACTAGGGGCAGCTATTGTTTCTTGAATGATGGTCTTATGTTGGCCAGGGCGCTTAGTGCTAGCAAGTTTGGATAACAGGTCGACCCTTTCATTCTGAGCTCTTGGGATGTGCTCAATCTGGAAATCATCAAAGAAAGATGTCAGCTGAGATACCATAAGATTGTACCTTTGAAGTTGGGGTTCTTTAGTCTGATATCCTCCTCCTACTTGTTCGGTGATCAGCTTGGAATCACTGCAACATTTTAGCCTCTTTATACCAACATCTTTGGCCAGTGTTAAACCTGCCAACAGAGCCTCATATTCAGCCTGATTATTAGTAGCTTTGAAATCAAATTTTATAGCAAGTTCAAGCATCATGTCGTTTGGTCCTTCAAGAATAATGTCAGCACCGCTGCCTTTCACATTGGAAGATCCATCCACATGCAACGTCCAGATTTGTTCATCCATAGGTGGGACGGGGGTGAGTTCGGCAACAAAGTCGGCCAAACATTGGGCTTTCAGTGGTCCTCGGCTTTCGTACTTTATGCCATACTCGGAGAGCTCGACTGACCAAGTTATCATCCGCCCCGCAAGATCAGGTTTTCTGAGTATCTGCTTGATAGGGTAGTCCAACTTCACAATAATTAAATGACTTTGGAAATAGGGACGAAGTCGGCGAGATGAAACTACCAATGCCAAGACTAACTTCTCTATGGTCTGATATCTCCTCTCGGTATCTTGTAATACCTGACTGATGAAGTATATGGGAGTTTGTTTTTGTCATTCTCCTGTACCAGTGCTGCGCTAATAGCATTGTCGGCCACTGCAAGGTATAGTAGAAGATCAGCTTGGTAGGTCGGTTTGGATAAGATGGGGGGAGCTGACAAGAATTGCTTGAAGTTGGTGAAAACTTGTTCACATTGGTCACTCCAACATAATTCTTTTGGCTTTTTGAGTAGATGGAAGATAGGCTTGGCTTTTTCTGCCAGCTTTGGAATAAACCGAGATAGTGAAGCAAGTCTTCCTGCCAACCTCTGCACCTCTTTGTGGTTTTTGGGACTTCTCATACTGATCAATGCCTAACATTTGTCAGTATTTGCTTCAATTCCTCTACAAGTGATCATAAATCCCAAGAATTTGCCTCCATGAACTCCGAAAACACATTTTTCTGGGTTCAATCTCATGTTGTGCTTGCGAATTTCATTGAAAATCTCCTCCAGATCTCGGACATGGTTTTCAGGGGACTTCGTCTTGATGACCATGTCGTCAACATACACCTCGAGATTACGGCCGATCTGATTGGCGAAGACCTTATCCATGAGTCTTTGGTAGGTGGCTCTTGCATTCTTGAGTCCAAAGGGCATGACATGGTAGCAATAGTTGGCTTGTTCCATGATAAAGGCAGTGTGCTCCTCATCCAGAGGGTACATTAAAATTTGGTTATACCCGAATAGGCATCCAAAAAACTGATCATAGCATACCCTGAAGCTCCATCAACTAATCTGTCAATACTGGGAAGTGGGTAAGCGTCTTTTGGACAGACTTTATTTAGATCGGTGTAATCAACACACATACGCCATTTGCCATTTGATTTTTAACCATTACTACATTGGCTAACCAGGTGGTGTATTTGATTTCTCTGATGAACCCGACGTTCAAAAGCTTTTGCGTTTCGACCTTGACAACTTCTCTTCTTTCGCCACCAATCTTTCTTTGCTTCTGAGATATAGGTCGTGCCTCTCTCGCAACAGCCTACAGCGCCACAAAACAGCTAGAATAAAGTCGCTGTAGCCTAAAGCCACATATATAAAAAAACATTTATTTTTAATAATTAAAAAGTGGTAAAAAACAAATTATTTAATAATTTTTTTTAAAAAATAGAAATATAGTGATGTGGTAGGCTACAGCGCCCCCTTTTTTAAAAAAAATTCAGATATATAAAATGTGATAAAAAAGAATTAAAAAACGTAAATACAAAAATAAAAATGTATAAAATAAAGAAAAATGAGAAATAGGTAAATATTTATAAGTACATATTTTTATGTATTCGTAAATAAAATAAAATGTGATAAAAAATAATTTATTTTAATAATT